GACTGGAGACTAAGGAAGTGTGGCTGGGGAGTGGTGATGCTCCACGTGGATGAGACCCAGATTGCTGGTCGAATCTGTGGTACCCTGACCACAACTGATCAGAGTTCTTCCAGATCCGACTTGTGTGCCATGCTCGTAGTGCTGACCATCATTGAGGACAACGTGCTGTTGTTCAACCAACACTTGTATGTGGTCCAACATTTCCGAATGTCACCGCAGCAGACCATCAGGAGTAGCAGTTCTATGCTCGACATCTAGGTTCGTGTTTGGGGAAGGCTTGGGACTCGTGCAGGCGATGTGAACCTCAGCTGGACTACAGCTCACCCCACCCGGGCCGAGGCAGAGGCTGTGCAGGCCTCACCCGTCGAGCACCTTTTGAATCTGGACTTGCGTAGGACCGTAGCACACCACTCCGCTAACCTCTCAGTAGGCAACGAATGTGGCGATTGTTGCGCGGGTGGCACTCCTGCGTTCCTCTACCCAAGTTGCCGTTTCCGCGGACGGAATATGACAACAAGTAGTTTCCAACGCCAAGTTTTTCAACTAGGGACCTGCGGCACATTGCGCTTGAGCCGCAGTGCAAGGTAGAGGTGAACAACGGGTGGCTCGGGCGACTGCGAAGATGAGGAAATGGCGAAGAGAATTACCTGCCTGGAATATATCCCTATCCCTATGCTGGGCATCTCCTCATCACGATGCCAATCTTAGGGATTCCCTTATTTTTTGAGGGCGCATCCCTAAGATCGTCATCGCTTTTTGGCGTGTCAATCTTAGGGATAAGGATTGGTTCGAGGCCAGTAAGAGAAGCGCACGCGTTCGTCCGAGCCGCGTACCGCGGCCCGCGCCACAGGCCAGACTATGCACACTTGACTTCACGGCGCGTCACCCCGCGCCAAAGGAAACACGGCTGCGGCCGCCCGAGGCCGACGCGAAGCGAGCCGCCGCCGCCAGCAGAAAAACCGACGGGCCGCCGCCGCCAACGGCTGGAGAGAGGAAGGGACGTCGCCAAGGCATCCGAGCGTCGTCGACCTCCTCCTCCATCGCCTCCGCCTCCTCCTCTTCCTCCGCCTCCTCCAGGAAGGGGGAGGGAGGGAGGGAGGGAGGGGGGGAGGGCGAGGCCCGAAGAGACACGAGGAGAGGGCAACGGTGCGAAGGGGGGGGGCTGCCCGCGAGGCCCGCGCGCCGCTCTGCCGACGGGCATAGGGTCGAGCGAGCGCGCTCGCTGCCGCCAAAAACACCCGAGGACGCCCGCCAAAAAATCTGGGGGCCACGGCGGGCCGCCGCTGCCCCCAGAATTTTTGGCGGGCCCCGCCCCCGGGCTCAGACAAACAAAATCCGACGAGGCCTCCTCGGAAACCAAAACGCGAGCGGGCACGCAAGATACTTGTTGTGGAGGCTTCACCTGACGTTTCTGACATGCCCCGGGGCCCACCCCTTTGGACGCCCGACATGGGTACGGAAAACATGGGTACAATGCCCAACAACAAATGCTGTCCCAAACCAAGAGCGGCCTCTGTCCCAAATGGACACAAGCCGCGGCGGCGCGGACAGCGAGTCCTGTTCAGAATGAACAGGAACTGCTGTTTGTCATCGTTGCCATTCTTTCCGTACCCATTTCGTTCGTGCCGAACCCCACGGCCACCCCCAGGCCACCCCTGGGCTCCCGGGACGCCTCAGGAGCTTTCAGAGAGCCGCCGAGCGCCTCCGAGCGCCTCGCGAGCACCCCGACTCTCCCGGAGCGCCCGCTGGAGCTCCCAGGGGGCCCGGTGTAGCTAAAATGGGGGCGAGCGAATAGCGTAGGGAGGGGGGCGATACGCAAGCGCTCCCAACTTCGCGTTTCGCGCTGCGCGAAGCGCGAAGTGCAAGTAACTTCGCGCTCTCGCGCCGCCTCCCAAGGGAGAAGAGGAGGATGAGGAGGAATCGGAGCCGAACCGCGAAGCGCGAATAACTTCGCGCCCTCGAGGGCGCCCTTGGATATGAAGGGGGGGGTGAAGGCGGGCGAGGCGCGGCGGGGAGTAGATTTGAGATTGAAATCGGAATCAGGCGGGCGGGAGGGGGTGGTGGAGGAGTAGGCTTGAGGATGATGATGTCTCACGGAGGGCGGAATCGTTTTCAAAATGTTGGGCCGCGGAACATGATGTAAAACAAGATAAGACCTGGAGATGCTCCGAACGAATATGGTCGAACGACTGCTTGGTAATGAATATTTGAAATATTTGATATGCTATGGCCCCGCGGAAACGATAACTCTCGTTGCTGAACTCAGCAAGGGTGGCAGCCCGCAAAGGAGCGGCGAGATCTAGTCTGGATGTGCGAGGGGCCCAACTCCCCTGGACCTCCAAGGAGCTCACGAGAGCGGCGACAATTGCGCTGTTGACAGCCACCAGTAGGAAAGGTAGGAGACAAGAAGAAGGAGGGAGGCAGGGAAGAAGAGGATGAGGAGGAGAGGGAGGGGGAGGAGAAGGATGAGGTGGAGGATAAGTAGAAGGATGGGACCAGCTTTGCTTCCGAAGACCCCACACCAGAGAGAGGGCGGATAATCTCAGCGGGAGACAGGAGGATGAGGCAGCAGGATGAGGAGAAATGGACGGGTTGTTGCGCGAAGCGCGAACGACGAGATCTTTGCGCGCTCTCGCGCTGGAACCCTGGAGACGGAGGAATGTCTCTGCGCCCGTGCAGGAGACCCAGCAGAGTGGGTCGCGCTGGACCTCCCAGCTGCTCGCCGCTCCTGGAGGGCGATGCCGCGAGAGCAGACCGCAAGGAGAGGACCCCAGCGAGGCAGCAGCTCGTGCCAGCGGCGATGTGGGACGCGAAGCGTCGGCCAGCAGCAGCCGGGGCACGGCAGAATGAATCGCACACCAAACCTGCGGGGAAGGGAGGAGGGCGGCCGCGGAGGAAGGCAAAGGAGGGCGCAAGGAAAGCGCTGGGCTCAGAATACGCAGCCTTTCAAAGGGGGCAGGAACACGGAATGCCCGCTGAGCAAGGGTTCCAAATAAGGACGCCAGACTCTGTGACGTCCACGCCGAGACTGCTGAAGCGGCACACGGCCAGTAAAATTGGATGAAGATGCGCCGAAGAGACAAAGATGCAAGGGCTGACTTGCTTAAACACTGCACGATTGCTGTGTTTCTCGGCTGTAGTGCATAAGCATCGTTCTGCGCACGGGGCATCGCGTGGGCGCACTGGGCTTTCTCTCAGATGCATGAGCGGAATTTCCTTGGCGACGCGGGCGCGGCTGACTCTGTGATGGACGATCGGCTTCATCACCACCAATATAATCATCATAATATCTATATATGTACGCATCAAACGTGAAAGCAAACACGATCGAGGAGCCCGATGAAAAAGATGGACAACTCTGGCATCCCCAAAAAAGTCGCAGCGAGTTGCGGGCCTCAAAAGGCGACACTGGTCAAAAAGGAAAGGGCTACTTCTAAAGATACGTGTTGGCTACACAAGCGGAGTGGACGCACTGAAGGTAACGCCCAGCCCTGTCAGGCATCATTCGTCCCTCCTCTCTCTGTTCCGCCTTCCCCCCCTCCCTCCGTCACCCTCCCAATCTCGTTCTCTTCTGATCGTTCTTCCTCCCACTGCTTCGTGCTACGGTCAGGGGGGCAGCCTGACTGCACCAGAGTCAGACGTGGATACATGGAGACGACGAGGTGAGTAGGAGAGAGGAGGGAGGGGGAGGACGAATATCGCAACTTTTTCCGACACCCACTCATAGACGAAGCAAGGGCTGCTCGGTCTTGTGCATCGCTGGAGGCTTCGTCGGCTAGTCAATGTAACGAGAGACTGTCTGGCAAACTATCGCTTGCACACGCACGAGAACTAGGACACGTCGCAACACCCATTGCATTCTTGCAGGTAGCGAAGTATACGCGCACACCACCAGGCGCCATGGCAGCTGCTACATTTCAGATGGAGGGGAAGAGAGAGGCGCGGCCATGGCCGAAATTGAACGCGGAAACGTGTGTGCCGATCTTGGTCATAACCCATCTTGGTCAACAATAATTCGTGGATACTCCTCGCGGATCGGCGACGGCTGGCATGGACCACGACCATGATCGGCGTCAACAAAACCTCGCGCCATCTTGGTTATGTTCAGCGAGATTCTTCCCTCGATGCGAGGTGCCAAATGGTCAACGGACGGAACTGGACAGGGGATGTGGGCTGCGTATGAGAAGCGTCGAACCGGGGCCGCAGCCGCTGCCATTTCGGTGGGGCCGGAGGGCGGGCGTCTGCGCACTAGACATGAGGATGTAAAGAAGGAATTGATGTTTTCTGTTCTCGTACAAAGATGATCAAGGCGGTTTGTATAAGGCGCGAACAAAGCGGGCACGGAAGCTTCGCCAGCTTCCGTAGTGTTCGGAAATCGCCGCCGATGCAGGGTGGGGAGTCCAAAGAACAGGGGTCCCAGACAGTTGGGGGTGTCGAGAGACCTAGCATCGGTTTCGGTTCAGAAATTGCAAGGTGAGGGTCCCAAGAACAGAGGTGGTGGGGGGTCGGAGTCGGTTTGTTCGAGTCGCCCGCATGATTAAGCTGCGCGCGCCCGGAGGGCAACAACATGCAAAAGTATCAGTAGCTACCGCTCTGTGATTCAATGGCACGGAGCCTTGAAATGGCTATGCCGGTCCTCGCAGTGAGGCCGCCTCCGTCGATCTGACAAGACACCCCAAGACTCAGTACGTCTAAATGCTCTGTCGGATTTTCCCGCTGACACGGCGCTTGACATTTCGGGTTGGAGGAGGGAGGTGGGAACAGGAAGCGTTCATCATGTAAGAAACAAACTGCATAAACATAAACTTGCGGAGGTCCGCGCGGATTTCTTGCATCGGCGCTGGACCCCCCTGTCCCTGGCGCGCTGAGCGCGCCAGGGCGGTACTGAAGGCTCCGCCAGAGACGTTCGATATTGCGAGATGGAGGGCGGAGGCTAGGTGGTGAGATGGAGGCGAGATGGAGGCGAGGCGGAGACATTCGATATTGCGACATTCGATATTGCGAGATGGGGGCGAGATGGCCGGAGACGGAAGGGAAATGAACCAGTCTATGCTGGAGACCTTGGGCCGTGCCTCAGAAGGGGCAATCGGCGACAAGGCTGGTGAAACATCCTGGGTGGACTTTGGAGTACCGGTTGCTCATGCCTGGCATGAGCCGGTCATATAATACGGAGCATGCTTATTAGAAGGCGCCGGCCGCCCTTCCAAGAAGCCAAGGGCGCGCCGCTTCCTAGAAGCCCCCACAACAGCCTCTTCGGAAAAGCTTCTCAGAAACACGGCGCAAACAGTCAGAAGTAAATCAAGCACTTCTTAGAAGCGTGGCATGGAAAGCTTCTAAGCAGCAGCCACCAGTTTCTTAGAGGGACGCGCGCCTTCCAAGTAGGTGGGGTGCTTCTAAGAAGCCTTCCCCAACCTGCCACCCGCCACGATAGCGCGGAAACCTGGTTATAGTCTGATCAGGCCTCAGACGAAGCTTACGATGTCGACTAGGTACGTATGCGGCAACACGCCGCCCACACCAGAAAGACGAAACTGCCCAGGAGGCACGATGACACGCATTGACTCTACTCCCTGTGGCATCCCGAATTGTTTGTTTGCCGACGTATGTGGAATCCAGGGTGGCTGCGTGATGCGCAACCAATCGACGCGCCTGCGACGCTCTCACAATCAAGCGCGACCCACCCTAAGCGCATGCAAAGGGAGTACACGGCCCGAGATGCTGATAAGCGCGTTGTCTTGCACTGACATTCCGTAGCACAATGGACAGCAAACCAGGACTACAACAATAATCCTCCGCCTCTACACTCTTCTTCTCCACCCCGAAAAAATAGACGCTACCCCAGCCTCATTGTCATTGGCAAGATGAAGAGCCTATGGCGCCCTGTAGAGCTGACGCCAAAGTGCACGCCTCAAATAAACCAACACTCGCCATTGTGCACCCACCCAAAACCGACCAACGCCCCCCACCGCGCCCGGGCACCCCCACCCCACGAGAGCCATGTTGTTGCGACCCCCAAAAATAAAAATGCTCGCCCAACGCCGACCAACACACACACACACACACACACACACACACACACACAAACACACACACACACACACACACATGTACACACACACACACACACACACCGCCCCGGCACACCCGCCCCGCGAGAGCCCTGTTCTTGCGACCCACCCACACGACGACTTCTCGCCCTAAACCGACCAACGCCCCCCACCGCGCCCCGGCACCCCAACCCCACGCGAGCCCTGTTCCTGCGACCCCCCGCACGACGATTTCTCGCCCAAAACCGACCAAGGACCCCCACCGCGCCCCAGCACCCCCACCCCACGAGCTTACCCCACGAGAGCCCTGTTTTTTCGACCCCCCACACGACGATTTCTCGCCCCAAAACCGATCAACGCACCCACCGCGCCCCAGCACCCCCACCCCACGAAAGCCCTGTTCTTGCGACCCCCCGCACGACGATGTCTCGCCATAAACCGACAAAAGCCCCCCACCGCGCCCGGGCACCCCTACCGCACGAGAGCCCTGTTCTTGCGACCCACCCACACGACGACTTCTCGCAAAAAAAAGCCGACCAACGTCCCCACCGCGCACTGGCTCCCCCACTCCACGAGAGCCCTGTTCATGCGACCCACCACACGACGATTTCTCGCCTTAAACCGGCCAACGCCCCCCACCGCGCCCTGGAACCTCCACTCCACGAGAGCCCGCTTCTTGCGACCCCCACACAACGATTTCCCGCCCCAAAACCGATCAACGCACCCACCGCGCCCCAGCACCCCCACCCCACGAAAGCACTGTTTTTGCGACCCCCCGCATGACGATTTCTAGCCACACACCGACGAAAGCCCCCCACCGCGCCCCCGCACTTCCACCCCACGAGAGCCCTGTTCTTGCGACCCCCCACACGACGACTTCTCGCCCAAAGCCGACCAACGCCCCCCACCGCGCCCCGGCCGGCACCCCCAACCCCAGGAAAGCCCTGTTTTTGCGCCTCGGCACCCTCGACGCCTCGGCACCCTCCCCCACGAGAGCCTTGTTTTTGCGACCACCCCGCGAGAGCCCTGTTTTTTTCGACCCACCCACACGACGACTTCTCGCCAAAAGCCGACCAACGCCCCCCCCCGCCCCCCGACACCCCCGCCCCACGAGAGCCTCGTTTTCAGGACCCCACACGATGACTTCTCGCCCAAAACCGACCAACGCCCCCCACCGCACCCACCCCACGAAAGCCCTCTTCATGAGACCCCCCACCGCGCCCCGGCACCCCCACCCCACGAGAGCCCTGTTTTTGCGACCGCCCCGCGAGAGCCCGCTTCCTGCGACCCCGCACACAACGACTTTTCGCCCGAAACAGACCAACGTTCCCCACCGCGCCCTGGCACCCCAACCCCACGAGAGCCCTGTTTGCGCGATACCCCACACGACGATCTGTTCCCAAAACCGACCAACGCCCTCCACCGCGCCCCAGCACCTCCACCCCACAAGAGCCCTGTTCATGCGACCCACAACACAGCGATTTCTCGCCCCAAACAGACCAACGCCCCACCCCCGCGCCCCCGCACTCCCCACCTCGCGAAATCCCTCTCAATGCGACCCCCCAAACGACGACTTCTCGCATAAAACCGACCAACGTCCCCCACCGCGCCCTGGCCCCCCCACCCAACGAGAGCCCTGTTCTTGCGACCCCCCACACGACGGTGTCTCGCTCAAAACCGACCAACGCCCCCCACCGCGCCACGGCAATCCCACCCCACGAGAGCCCGCTTGTTGCGACCCCCCACGCGACGATTCCTCGCCCTAAACAGACCAACGCCCCCCACCGCGCCACGGCACCCACGCCCCACGAGAGCCCGCTTCTTGCGAACTCCCACATGACAATTTCTCACCCAAAACCGACCAACGCCCCCCACCGCGCCACGGCACCCACACCCCACGAGAGCCCTGTTCTTGCGACCACCCACAAGACGATATCTCGCCCAACACCGACCAACGCCCCCCACCGCGCCTCCGCACCCCCGCCTCACGAGAGCCCTGTTCTTGCGACCCCTCACACGACGACGATTCGCCCTAAACCGACCAACGCCCCTCACCGCGCCCGGGCACCCCCACCCCACGAGAGCCCTGTTCATGCGGCCCACAACACAACGATTTCTCGCCCTCAAACGACCCCCCACACGACGGTGTCTCGCTCAAAACCGACAAACGCCCCCCACCGCGCCCGGGCACCCCTACCGCACCAGAGCCCTGTTTTTGCGGCCCCCCAAACGACGATTTCTGGCATAAAGCCGACCAACGTCCCCCACCGCGCCCTGGCTCCCCCACTCCACGAGAGCCCTGTTCATGCGACCCACCACACGATGATTTCTCGCCTTAAACCGGCCAACGCCCCCCACCGCGCCCTGGCGCCTCCACTCTACGAGAGCCCGCTTCTTGCGACCCCCCACGCGACGATTTCTCGCCCCAAACCGACCAACGCTCTGGCACCCCCACCCCACGAGAGCCCTGTCCTTGCGACCCCCCACAGCAGAACAGCCGCACAAAACAGTTCAAGAGAACCCCGAAGCAACAATTTTTGCTTTCCGCCACGAGATACCCACAGGAGGTCTCCAAGGCCCCCTGAGGCCCCAAGAAACCCAAGAAACTCAAGAAACTCACACGACCCAGCCAAAACGTGCTCCACGAGACGTCGCAGCTACTTCCAAAACGCCCCCGAACGGCTTTATAGAACGGTCCTACGGTACTGGTCGGAAATCTGAACCTCCTCCTCCTCCTTTTCCTCCTGCTCCTCCTCCCCCTCCTGCCCCTCCTCCTCCTCCTCCTCCTCCTCCTCCTCCTCCTCCTCCTCCTCCTCCACCTCGCATTCCTCCTCCTCCTTATCCTCCTTATCCTCCTCCTCCTCCTCCTCCTCCTCCTCCTCCTCGTCCTCCTCCTGTTCCTCCTTGTCCGTTTCTTGTTCCTTGTCCTTTTCCTTGTCCTCCTCCTCCTCCTCCTCCGCCTCCTCCTCCGCCTCCTCCTCCATTCCTTCTCCTTATAGATAACCCCTCCCTGTCGCACCCAGAAGCCTGTTTCTAGGGCGGGCCGGGCGTTCCGCTTGAGACTTCCTCACCATCTATGACTCTGAACCTTAAAAAGTGGCAACAGCCTCGCAGATAGAGGGCGGGTGGTTTTCAAAATGCGACTCTCGCCTGAACGCCGCGCGCATTCGGTTTTAAAAATTGCAAGAGCTTCACGGATTGAGGGCAGGTCGTTTTTAAAATGTGGCTCTCGCCTTAGCGCCGCGCACATTCGTTCTAAAATTTGCAAGAGCTTCACGGATTGAGGGCGGGTCGTTTTCAAAATGTGGCTCTCGCCTTAGCACCGCGCACACTCGTGTTAAACATTTGCAAGAGCTTCACGGATTGAGGGCGGCTCCTTTTCAAAGGGTGGTTCTCGCCTGAGCGCCGCACACACTCCGAAAAAATGCAAGAGCTTCACAGATTGAGGGCGGGTGGCTTTCAAAATGTGGCTCTCGCCTTAGCGCCGCGCGCATTGGTTTTAAAAAATTGCAAGAGCTTCACGGATTGAGGGCTCGGCCTCACGCCGCCCATATTCGTATTTTGAAACTTTGCAACGGTGTCACGGAATCCTATGATCAACGTGCCAGAAATGATGTTTTGGAAGGATTCAGGATTATGCGGGCGCCACAGTTATGTTGCTTCGCTGTGCTGAAGTTCCTCAAATGGCGATGTGGCACGATTCTGGATCGTCAAGACGCAGCAATCAGGTTGATATGTGGCGTTGAAATCCCGAGAGCAATGCTTTGGCACGCGTCAGGGTCTTCAAACTGTTATCTTCCAACGAGGCAATTCCCTCAATGGAAATGAACCGTTTTAGGGGCCTATGGAGAGGGAGATTGGAGGGAGGCTTAATTCCAACATCGTTGATGACTTTTGGGCTTCCACTGGTCCTCCTCCTCCGCCTCCTCCTCTTGCTCCTACATTGCCGACAGCACGAGCTGAGGGGAGGCACTCCGCCGCACGCCACCGCCGCTCCAGCGCCGGATCCTCACCCCCGCGCTCCGAAGGCCACCGTGCCTCCCGAGCCAGGCGCGCGCCCCCGCCCAATGATGGGGGGGTGTAAAGCGAAAGGCGGCGCGGAAGGACGACGACGGCCGCCCCAAATTCCTGGCGGTCCTGGCGACGTGACAAACCTGCACCGGTGAGTTTTTTTACATTCTCGGCCTCCGGATGCCGTCATCCGGCCCTGGGCCGTCAAAGAACAACTCGGGACGGGTCCGGACCACGGGAGGATCACGTCGCACAACAAAATGCGGCACCGGATGTCTGGGATCGGGGGGGAGGGCAGGACGGCGCAAAAATCGACGGCCGCGGGAACGGCTGGTGGCAACAGCCAGGCGCCAGCGGCAGCAACCAGGCGGAAGGCCGGGCCCATCACAAGACCGACTGTCCCGAAGCTGCCCAACCCTGGAGCAATCGAACCATGACCGTGGACGGACACCCGGCCCCAGGAAAGGAATCCGCAAATCAAAGCGCCCATGTTGCCAGAGCAAAACAGAGTTGGATCCCAAGGAGAGGGAGAAAAGAAACAAGAGGGCACAGCATATCAGAAAACGACGGAACGACAAGACACTCGCGGAAGACACGAAGCATCAAGGACGCAGTACAACAGAGAACAACAAATGAAGGAGGAGGCGCCGAAGAGGAGCAAGGAGCACCTCTTGCGTCGTACCCTCTTCGTTGCGATACACACACACACACACACAAACACGCCCCCACGAAAAACACCATGCCCAACCATGTGGAAACGCGCAGCACCGTTTGGAGCAACACATTATAAAAATCCCGCGCAGCCCGCACGAAGCACGTCTGCCTAACCGCGCAGCTCATCGTTGGAAAAGCAGCGGAACCGAAGCTCGCGGAAACCAAAACGCTGCGCAGTGGTGACGCCCCACACCGCGAAGGGCCCAGGAGAAGCCAACTGCGGAAAACGACGGGGCAGGCAAGATAGGATGCGCAGTAATAGAATCCTGAGCGCGAGGGAAGGCGGTGGCGACAAAACCACGAGGCAAACGTGTTGTGGCGAACCAAAAACCAGCACACTGTGTTGGGCTTTCAGAGGCGCTGGGCAATGAGCGCGACAACGCAGGCCCCCCACCGCGATCGCCCAGGCAAAACGAGCGCAACGGCTGCCGCGATACACGCGATGGCCAAAAAACACAAAGCAAACAAACCTGCATAGCATTTGTTTCTGGGGTCGGCGACAAAGGCGGTAGCCTTTGAAATAACCCACGACTCGCAACCCTGCACTGGGCAACAGAAGCCCGAGTCAAGGCCGATGCTCAGGAGGAACACCACATTACACAACCAGCGTGCAGCGCTCGCCTTCATTATTTTCCCACACCGTTGGCTATGGGTACATGATCCCACGAGCCCCCTAGGGCGTGGGAGGTTTGGGGCATTCCATCTTCCGACCCAGGGAGGGTTCATCACTACTCCTTGTTGATATACAGCCCCTCCCACCCGACAGGGGGCGAACCTGGAACCATGGCAGCACCACCCCTACCATCCCAGTGATGAAACAATACAAAGTGATATCTGCGGCCCTGGATCATGCGTGGGCTCCGAGCGATCATTTTGAATGGTTTCTGCAAGGGATTATGGGGGCGGCATGTTGCCTGCTGCGCGCAGGCCCCATCATCCCTGTCACAAGAAAACGCGAATGTCACTTTGAGGCAACATGTTGCTCATGCTCGGGCGACCCGCGATCGCTTTCGTTGCTCTTTGAGAAGATTGTTCTGTCGCAGCGCAAGCAAAGCTGTACACAGTTTTGACTTCACGCGCTGGCGAAGATCTAGAGGCTGAGATGCAATCTAGGTTTCAATCCCGAGTGAGACCAGTAGGAAGCAATATTGCGAGCGATGCGAATTGCCCTCAAAACGTATCGGGCCGGAGTTGCATACATTGTGTCGTAACCCTCTGGCGCCTGGCCCAACCGGCCACTGCCGGAAATCCAACACAATATTATGGGATCGCGGAGGGACACGGCGGAGGAAAGGAGAGAAGGAGGGAGAGAGAGGGGAGGAGTGGGCAAATACAAAAATGCCCAGTCTCGCATCCACTAGTCCGTGCGTTGCACGGCGGAGAAAATAAATCGCACCCGAAAGTGGAAACAATGAAACCCGAAGTACACTAGCTACAGGCATCGAGCGAACTACTCCTGCGAATTGCCTCCCACGCTATATATCGCGCGCCGGGCCGAAAGGAAGGCGCCGAGGTGGCCCCACCACGTGTACTGCATGCAAGATTGCGAAGAGAAACCGAGCAAACCACGAGAAGAGAGGAGGGGGGGAAGGTAGGGAAAAATGGGAATCAGCCTCTGGTTGCCCGCGCGCCCCGCGAAGCGAAGGCCCTCACCATCAGCTCTGTGGACCTCGGGTGGCACCGCGTGGCCTCGCGGAGATGGCCGCGGAAGGCGTTCGCTGCCTCGGCCGCCCGCAGTCCGCGGCGGGCCTGCGCGTGCGTCATGTGCAGAGCGTAGATGGATATCGCTCTCGGGGCGCTCTTCTCCGCCTCCGTCAGCGCCGGGTTGCCCCACGACGCCGCCGAGGACCGGTCAACGCCGACGAAGTCCTCAAGAGCGTGTTCCATGGACGGGCGCCGGAGGCCCAGGTACCGCGAGCAGCAGTCATGGTAGGAACGGCAGAACGCGCAGTGCTCAATCGCGCCCTCCCCGGCGCAGCCCATGACGCACGAAGAGCGGCCCTGGAATCGACGTGCGGTCGCCCAGCCCTTGCAGGCAGTGCGCACTGCTGCACGCATGACCCTCGGCGCGACGAGGTCCGAGACGGCCTGGGAGACACGGATCCATCGCGATGTCCGGTGACCGGGTAGTGTTCGGACTTGCCATCGGCTTAGCTTGCGACGGATATGTGCCAAAGCTGCGATGGTGTAGTCTGGCCGGATGAGACGCGCAGCTCTGGCCTGCCAACCCGTCCACGGGTGGTCTGGATGATGGATGTCAAGTAAAACGTGCCCCCCCGCTGCCGCCGCGCTCACGCGGATGACGGCGCTCTCCAGTGAGAAGAGGAAGTTGCTCTGGTACCACGCGTGCACATCGGCGGCGCGGGCTGCAGCGTCGTTGGCGGCCGCGGCGAGACTCCGAAGATCGTTCGCCCTGCGCGAAACCTGAAGCCCACCGCTCTTGCAATTCTCGTGCAGGGCCACTCGTGCACGGGCCGCAATGGATGCGGAGTGGGCGTCGAAGAATTCGCCGGGAAAGCCGGACAGCGCGAGGCTTTTGAGAAGCTCAGAAGACATCCAATCCCCAGGCCCGACAAACAGGCGCCGCAGCACCCGGTTTTCGATCCCCACAAAGTTCGGCGGCAGCGGGTCGAGCTGCGCGCAAAACATCAGCACTGACGCCACGTAAATCCGGCACGCCTCGACCGTGTTCAGCATGCCCTCGTGCAGGGATCGCCAAATCTCCGCGCGGTCCTGGTACTTCCTGATGGCCGCGCCCCACGCGCGCTGGCTTCTCCCTGGCCCGATGAAATACCCGAGGTATTTTGCACTGAAAGCGACCTCCAACGCTCCCCACAGCGGGGTTGTCTCGGCCAGGCGCCTGCGAGCCTCCAGGAGGGTCGTGGGGAAGAGCGGGATGAAGACCGTCTTGCGGAGGTTCAGGGAGAGCCCTGCGACGCGCTCGAAGTCGGTGAAGACCCTTTCCGCCACCGGCAGGCAGGCCCATATGTCCGCGACTGCAAGCGCGAGGTCGTCCGCGTAGCCACGTAGGACACCGCCTGGAAGTAGACGGACGATCCTGCGAAGGAGTGTGTCCATCGCGGCAGCGAACAGGAGCGGCGACAGTGGGCAGCCCTGCCGGACCCCCCTCGCGACGTCGAAGCAACAATGTTTGGCTCCTCCCATGGTGATCACACAAGAGTTTTCTGTATACAGAGCGGCGATGTAGCCTCTCAGCCACGCCGGCCATGCCAGGTGGTCGAAGACGCGGGACATGAACTTATGCTCGATGGACGGGAACGCCGCCGCGAAGTCGAACAGCAGGGCTCCCCCCGTTGAGCTGCTGAGCGCTGCTCGGAGCATCGCCTCCTCCATGTCCACAAGATTGGCCAGCATGGAACGGCCACCGAGGAAACCTCGTTGAATCTCCAGGATACCCCGGCTGACCGCTGGCTCAATGGCGAAACGGACGGCGTTCGAGATGAGTCGATTGTCCGTGTTCGCCACGCTCAGGGGCCTGGTCTCCGCAGGCGTGAAGTAGCCCTCCCCAGTCGGTAGAGTGCCAGCTGGCTCTTTGGGGAGGAGGAACATCAGGCTGGCGTTGTACTCCTTGGCTTCCTCCTTGGTGAGGCCAGTCTCGCCGTCTCCGTGGATGTAGTGCGCCGCGTTTAACAATAAGGACGCTAAGACCTTAGCGCACCGGCGCCAAGCCAGGAAAGGGGTTCCGTCGGGGCCTGGGGGCCGTGTTGCTCGAGGTCTTGAGGGCATGGACAAAGTGCGACTTCCGGGGGGGTACCCGGGTCAGCCGCGTGTTGGCCAGGTCCGCGAGAGGTCTGGTGTCTGCGTCGTCCTCCAGCCACTGGTCCAGCAACTCCTCGTTGATACCCTGCGCCCGGAAGGTCTGGGACCAATGTGCGCCTAGGGAGCGTGCCATGTCCTGAGGGTCCGTGGTTACCTCGCCGTCGTCCTTGAGAATGGCGTTCAGCGAACTGCCCCGGCCAGGGGCGAGACGAAAAATCAAGCGATTGTTTCTCTGACGTGCAACCTGGGCTTTGAAAGCGCCCTCGCCAGTGAGGTCGGCCCGGGAGCTCCGAAGCTCTTCCACGGCATGGCCTCGAGCGAGTTGCACAGCGAATTGGCGTAGTCGCGATAGCTTCTGGGACAAGTTGCCGTCGAAGTCGTATGGGTTCGCAAGGCATATGGTAACCTCCGCAGGCCGACCGCCCTCGATCGCCCGGATCGTTTTCAGCACAACCCCCAGCTTGTCCTCCGCACCCTGTGCAACAGGGATGGCCTTGAAGTCGCTTTCCAGCCTGAGTGCGACCCGTCGCATCGACGACTTGTACAAAGCGAGCTGCTGAAACGGCGAAGCCTCAGGGTTATCCTTTAACGCCTCGTTGAACTCCAACATCAAACGCCTCGGGAACTCCTTATGCAAGAGTGCTCGTTGTGCGAGGGGGCGGTCTGGATCGTCT